CATTTATTACAATGCTTTTTATTTTAGTTTCGTTTTCTGTAAATGTTTTATCTTGAAACGCATTTTTCTGACTACTTTTGACAAGTAAATTTTGCTTCGTTGAGTAATTTTAAAATTAAAATAAAGAAGTTATTTATGTCTAATAGAAAGTGACTGAAGTTGTTTACCAAAAATTTCAAATATAATAAAGATAAGGAAAGGAAAAGATGCGAGAAATATGGAGAGGATCAAAAGTTACTTAACTAAGTAATTATTAGATGAGAGTGTGTTGTCTTGTTTATATTATGTTGTATTATAATTAAATTGGATTCTGCAGACTAATTACATAGAAGTATATATAATTGACTACAATGAACTTATTTTATTGCTCTTTTTTGATGTACTTAGAACATAATTCGGTAAAAACAAAGTTTCTGTCACTAAAAATTGTAGGGATCCTATTGTTTTTAACATTAAATAAAAGCAGGCTTTTGAATAACGATTTTCGTTTGGGTCTCTACAATTGTAGTCTTTATGAAAATAAGTTACTAATAAGTATAACAAAAAAACTGTGTAAGTGTAGACTTAAATTGATTTGTGAGGTTGTAAATTAAATAATAATTTATAATTTCTGTTTCAATATTTATATGAGTATTAGGATTTTGGGTATTATGGAGTTTTTTTCTTAACTTTCTTACAGTATAACTATTAACTACACGTTGCGTAGTCTAATAACCCAAGATATGTTCTTCGTATTGATAACTGTGTAAGACTTGTTAGCTCTGTGACTTTTCTTCAGTCAGTGGTGGCCTAGTGATTAAAAGGCCCGCCTCTCATGCATGAGGGCGCGGGTCCGATCCTGGCCCGGGCAAGTACCAATGTGATTTTTCCGAGTCATATGTTTTTTTTAATGTAAAAGGTGGCAAACGAGCAGACGGCCCACTTGATGGTCAGTAGTGGCCGTCGCCCATGGACATCCACAACATAGATGTTGCGGATGCGCTGTCAGCCTTACTTGTGGAAGAAAAGGGAGGGGTAGAAATAAGGAAATACAAGGAAAGGTTGGGAACAGGGAAGGGGCCACCGGCTCTCTCACTCATCGGACGAAACGCAGTCATTACTGACTACTTCACGCCGATCTTCTGTGAGAGGGTGATACTTCCCCGGTCATTCTGTGATGCAGAATTTATCATCTATGTATGTAGGACAATTTTCCGCCGTCTATTGGTTTAAATTTTACAAATTATGAAAGGTCACAGCATTTTTATAAACAAAAGACAATCGAATATTTTCAAGAAAATCAAAAACTATTTAAGGAATCAGTAAAAAATTAAATAGTACTCTTAAAATACTTTATCAAAAATTAATGTTGTCTTATCAAGTTACGCATATTTTAAAGGTTATTTCTGTTTATTTTTAATTATCCGACAATGCCATCGGAAAGGTTATATTAATTTTAAATTGTCAGCAAAATATTTTTAAATATTGTCTTCACTCCAATCTTCAGTTTTGCAATAAAGTTTTTGATGTTTGATGTTTATTCGGAGATTTGTTCAATACATTTTTTATTAAATTATTTTGCCTTGAAATTTATTGAAATTAATATTGTCGGATTAACTACATACGCGTTTTTTATTATTTTAAAATAAGAACTCCTGACGTTTCGGTTACTTAGCAGTAATTGTTTGTTGACTGGTCTCATTTGTTTGGTTATATATATATAGTAGATAAATATATAACTATATATCAATGGATTATATATTAAAATATTTGTAAACAATCAATTGCCGAAATAACAAGAAAGAATCCATATAATGTACATTGTTCACACATAACAATTGATTAGTCAAATTGGGTCAATGAATATTTAACTAATGTGGCTTCCAAGTTTCATTAAATTTAGACAAATTGATCTTAATTTTGTTATAAGGCTTTCTTTGTTATCAGTTATATTGTATAACCGACATAGTTATCTTATCTTTGATCATATATGCAGTGAAATTGATAAGAAAATTATTTGAATTGTCAAGAAGGGTTAGCGTCATCAGTCTATCAGAGCCCACTGCAGAGCAAAGTCCTCTTTTCACATGAAGAAAGTTTGAGCATTATAATAAAAATAAAGTATAAAAATTACATCTATTATGTTTACCTTTTACGTTTACGTTAACTTGAAGAAGATAAAAACCTTAGGAATAGTTAGTTAAGTTTTGTTTAAAAGTTATAAACAAATCGTTTGCCTTCTAGAAATCTTTAGATGCAATTTATACATCCTAGGAAACCGAATCCAAAAGGCAATTAAAAAGAAATTCATTTTTTTAAACGAAAAATATATAATGAGATCTAATACTTTCACGAGTATTCATTAAAATTATAATAATAATAATTTCGGATTTTCTAGGCGTTTATTGTTAATTTAAAATACATACCCCTGACGATGGAAGGTCTATGGAAGCGTTTTCATCTCGTCTGTCCGTTGACACGGCTGCTGTAAAGTTATTGAAACATTAGGAATATATAAAATAAAATAAAGAATACAGTTTATTTTGATTCTCATAACACTATGCATATTTTCTAGCTCTCAAGTTGAACTTCGTTGACATTGAACATATAAATACTGCTCGCTATAATTAATTATTTCATTAATTAACTGCAGAGGACATATAAAACCTTAAAAAACCTCTTGTATATAAAAATACAAAACTTTTCTTTTGAAGACACTCGTCTTATAACAACTATTACAAAAAACACTAGGGAAACCATTTTCCTTGAAATATGCTTTATTTTCTGACATCACGTAATTTTAAGAGACACAAACGTGAAACAACATTATTAAAGTTCGTGAAAAATAAAAAATGTTTTGTTGAATGTTAAAATATTATTAAATTAGGAATAATAGGATACATATATATTTACTTGGTTTTTTTTTGTAGCTATGGTATAAGTTCTTTTTAAGACGATATAGTTTCATTTACATTTATATAAAACTAGCAGATCGTAACGATGTTGTCTGTATTGTCAAAGATAATTAAGGATTTATATGATAAAGTAAATTATTCATTAATACAGCTCATATACGCAAATTTAATACAAAGTTACTTTAGTTCTTTGCTAATGATATTATAGTTTTGATGTGAGATTCTTTTTAAATCATTGACTGTTATTTCAATCGTGCTCATCAAAGTGCATTAATGTATATAGTTGTTAAGTTTTGCTATAATATCTTAGTTTCTGTGTAGTTTTATGAATTTAATTAATTAAAGAAATTTAAATATGAGCAAAGGACTGGAAAACATTAAAAGAAGATGAATGACTTACGTAAAGCAACTCTCAAGTTATAGTGTATAAAAAATTTATTCACTTTTATATATAGACGAAAATAGTTCAGTTTTTAAAGAAATATCCTTTGAGTTACAATTTCAAAATCTGTTTATGAAGATAAATTGGTTATTTAAAATAATTATTCATTTTGTTTATCTATACTAATAATTTAATCCTCATTAAACATTGTAAATTAAATGTTTTCGTTGAATCCTAACATATGAAAGTAACAATGATATTGCGAAACTTAAATATGAAAAATCTAAAACATAAATATTGGTAAAAGGAAGTGAAAATTAGTTGATTTACCGTAAGAGTGACAAACGGGGTGAAATTTTTCCTCTTTATGTATAGAATATAGAACAATCTAAGAGTTGAGGTAAAAGTCAAAAGGTTAAAGATATTTATAGACAATTTTGAATGTAGAAAAGAATGAATTACAAAATGAAATTCTTAATTCATTCAACTAACAGAATTTAAATTGAGAAAGTCATTTGGAATTCATAATAAGTTACATTCATTTAACACTTATTCGACAAATGTTACTACAATTAATTTATTTAATAAATAGTAAATCTAATATATAAAATTCTCGTGTCACAGTTTTCGTGCCCATACTCCTCCGAAACAACCTGACCGATTTTGATGAAATTTTTTGTGCTTATTCGGTAGCTATGAGAATCGGCCAACATCTATTTTTCATCCCCCTAAATGTTAGGGGTAGTCCACCCCTAAATTTTTATTTTTTATTTTTTAGACAAAATTTTTAATTACTATTTTTTTATGATACAACGTACAAAAATACATACAATCCTAAATTTTCACCCTTCTACGATCAACCCTTATTTTTTAATAGCTATTTTAGTAATTTAATCATTTTTCATCTCCGGTCGATAACTGATCAATCGTCATTTAATAAGTTATCCCCGCCAGATATCTACAGGTGTCACTTCTGACCCAGTAAACAGCACGGAGTAGGGATGAGAACGAAGCCGGTCTTCTGTTTCTCTCACACAATTAGACTTCTCTCACTCCCTACACAGTTGTTGGCCATCGTTATTGTTTGTGCATCAAGTGTAGTAGTAACGTTGACAATTATTATTTTGCTAGCTCAGTGTAACTCTCATATTAACTATTAATCATTCCTAATCACTTCAAAACACGGAGATTTATGGCTTTAATAGGTAAACTCCAAAAATATAAATAAAAAAACGTAACAGATATTTCTTGATTATAGGGCGAAACGAAGTTCGCCGGGTCTTCTAGTAAAGTTATAAAAAACAATAATGAGATATTTTTGTTTCGTAATTAATATAAATTAAATTGTAATTATTGAGGATATATTTATTGGAACAAATTGAGACATATTCTGAGACTCTTAATGAATCAAAGATGTGATTTCTGACATTCCAACTACTTTGATTACACGGATAATAGTTATTTGGGTCTAGATCAATGTTCAGAGATATCTTGGTAGGAATGCCTAATTACTCACAACACAAGATTTATAGAGAGATGAAGACATTTTTGTGATCTCATCGTCTTAATGGTATATGTCTGAGGAATACAAATATACACATACAATTATATATAACAGAGCGGGGTTAGGATCAAATAGGAAAGTCCAAGATGCGGATATATTGAAGTCTTTTATTCGGCAAGACGAGAATGATAAATATAAGATCCATGCAATGAATTTAGAAATGCAGAACGAGTGGTTAGACATAGGAGATTTTTGCATCCCATTAGCATTAAAATGGCGCACTTTAATTTATGATTGGTCGCCAGCATTTCTAAAATTCTATCTCAATGCGTTCCAGATGACTCTCCCAGATCAGAGTAATTTAGTAAGATGGGGTAAAAGTACCGAAAAAACTTGCTATATCTGTGAAAAGGCAGTTGGAACTGCTAAGCATCTGCTGGTGGGATGTAAGGTACTCCTGGACAGCGGTCAATACTCGCGTCGTCACGATAGGGTTCTAGAAGTCATACGTGAAGCGGTTAGTCTTTCGGTAGCCAGAGCGCAAAAGGAAATAACCACAAACGAACGATCAGTAGGTTTTGTGAGAGAAGGCACTAGGGCTACAAAATCAAACGTCAAGCCTTACTCCATCCTTAAAGCGGCGTCGGATTGGACTATAATGATGGACACGTATGAAAAGCAATATAAAATCCCCGAGGATATTTGTGCGTCGGCCTCCAGACCGGATATATTTTTGTTTTCGCGAATTTTAAAGCGCGTAGTGGTGATAGAGCTTACGGTCCCTTGGGAAACCAACATCCCCAAAGACCATACCATCAAGGTCAACAAATATTACGAGTTCACAAACGAACTCACTCGAAATAGGTTCGTAGTAGATTTGTACGCGGTAGAGGTGGGAGCGAGAGGTATAACAGCGAAATCTCTCTACAACCTACTAAAGGACTTGGGCTTGTCCAGAACTCACATTAATGCATTCTTGGAACGTATATCGAAGGCAGCCCTAGTAGGTTCTTTTAAAATTTGGTTAGGTAGGGAGAGGAGCTTGGACAGTGGAGGTGAGCGTATAACGCGCGTTAGTTAAGGGGCCCCTTAAACCTACACTTGGGTCGCAAGTCCCAAGCACTGTTGAAGCTCCTCTCCCTGCAACGCGATGGACCCGGCACCCGCACGGTGAATCCATGGAATGCTTAGTAGTTTCGTCTCATCTAATATTTACAATACTATTCAGCAATCCAATATTAAGGGAAGACATAATTCTTGTGGTGAGAATACTAATATACATATATATAAAGATTGAATAAATATTCTTGTGATATTTGTAAACATAAAATTAATAGTTTTTCTATCTTTGTATATAAAAGAACGTCGTGTTAGTTACACTATGCATTTATAATTCAAGAAAGGCAGTACGGGTTAGGCTGAAAATTGTTGGAGAGATAGCTTAGAACAAGGGAATGACATAGGATACTTTTCATGTTATTGAAAATTGTCGATTTTAATATTCAAGACGTGAATAATTTTAACCCTTAGCCACCTACCTACAAATTTTATAACACAGTCACCTACCTCCCGTCTGGGAGACACCTGTACTCTAAATCAAAGATTTTTGTAAATTAGGAGTTCAGTTAGAATGAAATATTTTTTTTACGTATTTGAATGTTTTATTAAAAGAAAATAAACATAAAGCGATCAACTATACCCACTATAAACTCAACTAAAATGAACAACACTTATACTTTGGCATTTTTAAGCCTTACTTACGTTGACTAAACTTACGTTTTTAGAAATGTAAAAATAAATTGAAATAGGAACTTTAAAATAAACTTTTCTTATTTTTTAACATTTACTAAATATAGAAATGAAACATTTAGAGAGAAAAAATAAAAAAATAAACGAAATTGCAGACTCTCAACCTACAGCTTTTCACGACAGTCAATGCACAGCTTGTTCCAGCACTCGAGGCAGATTGATCTCTTACATTCGAAACACATGTACTGGGTCCTGTGTTTCTTTTTAGGATCACAAGTTGAGCATGTTTTTCGTATCGTGAGTACTTTTTCACCACGTTTGGTACTAGAAAGCACTGCTGGTTGACTGGTTACCTCGTCATAGTGAAGGATACGTCGAAGTGAAATTTTGATGTCACGCTGGAGATTCACATTTCGCTCGCGGCGCTCCATATGAGGTGTTGTAAGCTGTTTAGCTAGTCTACAATATTATGTTTCTTCTACAATATTATATCGTAATGTTCTAGAACGAGAAACCTGGGGAGCTGATGACCAACAGTACCGGTTCTTACCAAAATAATTTGTTTTTCTCGGTCTTGACCGTATTTCAGATAATGGCACTTCATCTTCAGATGAACTCTGTGATTCGTCAAGCACATTGTGGGATGAAAGAGGTACCATACCTGCTTGTAAAGTAGTTTCTTCCTCGGATTCAATTTCAGAACACGATCCACTGCATTCTTCCAGTACGTGTTGTACTCCAATTTCAGTGTCGTCATCGCTATACTCATCGTTCGGTATATTTTCTTCATCCGATATGTTATCTTCTAATCAGCTATCAATAATGGAATCGTTTAAAGCTATTTTCACCTTAAGCCAATAAAAAAAAATTGTCACACAAACACCTACCATCCGTCTCTGAGACACTCGAAGATAGATTTTTACTTACCAGGAAAAAATGGCGCGCATCTCAGACCTCGATAAGCGCTTGGGCAACACTGATCGGTGCGGGGGAAAGGTACAGGAAAGCACAGGTTCGTAAGACGCATACACAGCAAAATATTTACGACTTTAAAATCGCTTCCGTCTGTGAGACGGGAGGTAGGTGGTTAAGGGTTAATCTAACCTATTCTTTAAAACAACTAGAACTATTACACGCATAGAATATATTAGTTTATGTATGTGTATTGTAACTAAGTGATAATGTTACTCAATAATAGTAATTATATGAAGTACCAACCATAGCTTCATCACTCAATATATGTATAACTGATATTTCAGCTTTATGTTTCACGACTATAATAACAATTGATAAATCAGATATTTGTAACTGGAAAATACTTTAAACTGGTTTCAGTATTGGTAAATCAAAATTTGATCCAGTTCAATTAAAAGGTGGAATAAGAAAAAGGCGAAGATGTTATTCATGGCAAAATCATTACTTATGAGTTTGTTGTGGTGTTTTGGGATCTATGTAGCGTAAAGTAATTGGGCCTATATCGTTTGAAAGGCCAAGGTTTAACGACCTCTAAAATAATTAAGGCTTAAATATACATAACTTAGTAAAGCAACATTTAATTTAATTGTTAAAGACACTAGTTCGATTCCACATAGAGTACTTTTAAAATTTTTGCCAGGGAATCATATTGAATAAAAGTGAAATTTTTAATACAATCGTTCAAAAACAAGCATGAAAGATTTGGGAAGGTTAAAAACTGATAATAACTTATAATTATATGAAGCATTTTATTCTGTTTCAAAGAATGATTACAAAGATATACATGAGTAACAATAACATATATGAATAATGAAGTGATCACAATAGTCGAGATACGAGCACATAATATATAAGTCTCGTAACAAAGAGATTTTTCCAGTTTCATTTCACGTCAAATAAACCTACCTAAAATTTCTCGATTCAATTCAGTTAAATTAGCGGAAAAATATTGAAGTATTAAGAAAAGTACAAAGGAAATTATTTGTCGAATGGATAGGTTTTATTCAGCAGATTTTAATTAAATATTAGTAGACGAACAAGTTAGTTCCTTGCATCAGTTTCAAGGTTTTACGAGTCTCTAAATGTCAAAGTCTTGGTTACTTTCTTCGTTTGTTTTATAAAATAGTCATTAATTAAAACTTATTCTTTAAAAGTGTTAAATTTTATAAACTAACATAAATGACAGAATTACTTTTAACTGTATAAAAGATATTAAGACATGAAATATGTCAGTAAAATTTCTGTTAAAAGATTAATGTAAACCAATTCGTTCCTATTAGTATTATTGTAAATAACACCAAGGATAATTTCATTACCATTAACATAACAAATATAATCTTATACCTTTAAATGAGTAATTCTTGTATATATATTATATATATACATATATAAACTGGAATCTCGGAATCTTCCTCAACGATTTTCATGAGTTTTAGTATATAGGGATTGTGGGGGCGATAAATCGATCATCAATCGATCATCAGCTAGGAATCATTTTTAGAAAATTTCATTTTACGATAAATGAAAAAAAGTTGGCGTCTGACGCTATAAAATAATACTACTTTCTGGTTATTGCTTTTACTAATTGCTTTAACGACACAACAGCAGATAGCGTTGTTAAGTATTAGGAAGTCAATGAGTGTTTGTTTTGAGGTTAGACTTAGAAATTAATTGTTGATTTATAATGTTTTGCGTCTTCTTAACGTGTTCACTAAAAAATGCCAAAACGAAATAAAAAAAAAACACAAATAAATACTAATAGTTCCTAAATACCGAGCAAATCTCGGTAACCAGATGTTCTGTGTATAAAAGAAAATTATGCTAGTTACACTACTTTATTTTGTTTTCAAAAGAATTGCTGAAATCTGAAGAAAATGAAAAATTATCTTAAACGATATATTTGTTTTAAGAAAAGTATTATATTATATATTTAAATGTAACTATTATTAATATATGCTGTATAACAATGAAAGAGGAGAGTGGGAAACGCTATAAATTTTCATGTAAGGTGTGATAATATTTTAGTATAGAAATTTATGATGGTACTCTATACAATATTCTTCATTCATCTTTCAATGAACTAAAATATTATAATTCTTCGTTTAATATATCAGCGGATATTTCATTCCTTTACTACAACAAATAAATCTATCTCTGAACTATTTATTTCCTTAAAAACTCAATGAAATATGAAAAAAGTATTTTATAAAGTATGATGAGATTAAAACCATATTCACGTGTTTAATTCAGATGCTTTTTACTTTAGAAGTGTCATCTTTTTAATTTTAAATACTTCTATTTGTAGGTGAAGATAATTTAATTTATTTCACCTCGTGTTTTATGATACAAAAATATTTTGTAAGTTAATTCTTAAATATATATTTACTGCATATATTAATATTTCATAATGAGTTTAGGAACATAGAAATAAATATTTAATTGTATTTAAGAATAATTATAGTAAAAATGAAAATTAAGTAGCTGTATAATATAATTAATTTACACTTAAGGGAAGATAAACAATGACCCTAGTCTAATTGTTTTTTACACAAGTAATAAAGTTATATACAATATAGATTAGTAAGTTTTTAAAAGGCGATAAGATGTTGTTACAATCTAGGTAAAAACTTTCGATCGTTTGAAAAATTTTACTTTTTAACATAAATAGTCTCATTTATTAGAGACTATTTTAGCAACAGGAAATAACTTTAAAATCAAGTAAATTTAAATATATTTCTAGCACACATAAGAAAGAAACAATTTAAGAGTATATAATATTTGGAATATATATGTTGCGGATGTACATGTACATATATGGGTCACGGTGACTGCTGCCCATTAAGCAGGTAGTCTGTTCGTTTGCCACCTTTCACATAAAAAAAACATACTTGAGTCAGCTCTTGGTGTAATAAAATATAGTAGTTCTTGCCAAATGATTGATAATAATTGGCCATAGATTATTTTGTAGAGAAACGTAGGGATTTCATAGAAAGTCGGTTATCTCGATACAATATTAGTAATAAATTTGTATGTACAATATGTATGATTAAACCATATAAAATAGTTAAATTGTAGATAATGCCTTAATTATATATGCAGTACGTTGTTATTTATTTTTTTCTTAAAATATAAACCCGTTACTGAGCTTTGTGATATTACTTAGAATATTCTATTGAGAATATTGGTGTATTTATAGCTGCTGGTATTTAAAAGATTCTCAAGTTGATCATTATTTAGATTTTGATTACTTTAAAAGAATAAATTTTATTATAAAATTTAAACTTGAGGTTTCATCAGTATCGTCATAGTGAAAATTTAATTAAGTTCATCTGTTAAATTGTTTCCGGTGTTGGTTGACGGAGAGGGTGTGATGACACACGAGTCTTTAAACAAACTGTCCGTTGAGGAGTGACCACATCGTGTAGAGTGATGACAATAATAACACACACTCATTAATAATGAAGGATTTGGTTTTAATAGAAAACAGTACAGAATAGATGTTACTTGAATGATTACTTTTGGTTATGAGGTAATTTGTTTATTATATTTATCGATTTAAAACTAGCGAAAAAA